CTGACCTATTTACGCAAGTAGTTGAAGAATGTAACAGCCATTTTCTTCACCTCAATTCCTTGGTGAGGTATATTTAACATGTCTCTTCTGTTTTTCCAAGTTTTCTTTGTTTGTTATTCAGCTTTTTCTGCGATCCTCATTGCTGCATAAACCATAACATGCTATTTGTTACAATGGTCAGGAGAGCTTCTTAGTGATTCTCATTCTAGTATATCTTATTGTTGCATATGGAACAAGTGCACCTCGTGTATTTTCTTAATTATCCTGAACTCTGTCCTACACTCCTATATTTTACCTATTTTCTCATCCAATTTGCTACTGCTGTAGGCCTTGAACATAGATACTTTATTGGTGCTCTATTGTATACTTTTCTTCTCCATACAACTTTTGTGTCAGCATGCTGAATTTTCTGGAGCTTTTGCTTTAATGTAAAGATGGTCTAATTGGAAGTTCTGTCTTGCTTTGGCACAGTCATTACATTCTTCTAGTTAGCTCTCTTTAACAGAATGTTTGTCTTTGCCTGTGTACTTGTCCCCTTAAAGAATTTTCTCAACCCAATATCCATTCCTCAAAGTCAAAACCATGTTGGGAATTTGATGGAGTGTTAAGCACCTAAGAATTTTCAATTATACAATATAATGAAAGGTCCTTGAAAGAGTTCCCTTGTTTTGTAGTTTTTGTTTCTTTATTTCATACAAAAGATGTACATTGTACAGAGAGCAATTAATAATCTCCCTTATTATCTCAACAAATTCAGGAAAAGAAAAGAAAAGTTCTCTACCTCGTTGAAGTTTTATGTCCAAATTATCTAAGAAATAGAACTAAGAAAACTAACTAATGTGGAAGGAGAAATTAAAGCGATCAGGTCTAAAGAACCAAAGAGGGAAAATAGTTGGAAGAAAGTATTCTCCATATCCCAGTTAAAATTTGCATCCTTTCTTTATCAATCTGTCCCAAGAAACTTAACCTCTTCCTTGAAAAATCAAACGAGGGTAAGGTCCCTGGAGAAATGTAAATGACAAACAAGAATTTAACTGATCCATCTTAACAATCCTGTTGATGGCCAAGCAATAAGAAGCATAAGATTAAGATTTTGACTAAATAACTGAATAACCATCAATTTTAAGCTAAAAGGAGTTATTAAGAATCCAAACTACTCATAAAGATCCATTAGAATCCTAGGAAAGAGGAATTTGTTCTAGCTCAAAACAAAGAACATCCTAACAGAAATCTTAAAGATAAAAAGATAAAAGAAAAAAAGAGAAAGTAAGAGCATGATTAAGAACCAGTATTTTTGTAATAGCTACTTGGCACTGGGCTCCTATTTGTCTGATAGCACCTAGACACTACGGTCCAGTACCTGACCACTGAAGCCTCTAGGTTTGTGTCTGCTGGCCCCTAGGCACTTAGCTCTCTGAAGATTTGAATCTGATAGTGTCGAGGTGCTATGTTGGTACTTTCTGAAGCTTTCTACTTCCTCTGGGCTTACTAAGTATTGAGCATTAGGTGCTTGTCCTCCCAGCTTCCCGTACAATAACAACAACAACAAACCCAGTGTAATCCTATAAGTGTAGGGCCTGGGAGGGTAGTGTGTACGCAGACCTTACCCTATATTCCATTAAATTGGCTACATCTTGCTGTAGGGGTGTCCAAATGATGAACTGCTTGACTTGTTGTACATTAACTTCAAGGCTATAACTCAAGCAAATATCACACCCTAACTTATTACTCCCTCAGACCCATTTTATGTGCCGGTGTCTGACTCGGTTAGTTTCTGAAACTGAATCAAAATCCAGCGTGTTGACTGTGTATTTCAATACAGTTATTCTTTTCTCATCTGCAGCGGTGTTATCAAAAGCGAAAAGCGCAAAAAAGCTATAAGGATTGTTGGGGCTTTAAGCGCAAAGTGCAAATAAAGCGTGAGCTTTAATGAAAAAAGGCGCAAATGGAGAAAAACTACAAATATGTATCTGTTGTTCAAGATTAATATCTATAAGCATGATTGCCAAATATATGGACAAAGAAACTGAAGAAAATTTACGACAAAGTGCAATATCAATTGTTTAGTGTCGCTTCTTTAGGATTCCTTAGAGCCTTCATGACAATGCTGAAGCACCCACTAAGCGAGACGAAGCGCTCAACATGTTTTGAGCCTTGCTTCAGCGCTTAAGCGCGCCTTTGATAACACTGATTTGCAAATATGTCAAAATAATTAGAAGAGACAATTGAAATGCCTGAAAAAAAGAGTAAATCTCAAGTACTTAATTTTATCTACATGAAATCTGCTTATCATTTTTAGAGGTTTCATGATATTATGCATATGTGTATTCTTCTCCAAGTGCTAAATGGAATACAGTTTTGTTGTCCCTGATCTTATCCATCTTGAGTTTGGCACAGGAAAATGAACTCAAAAACTCCCGCTGAAAGTTCAAATGCAAACCGGCCAACTCAGAATGATGGAATTTCAAACAACGAATCACCTGATGACAATGAGCCACCTGAGGCTGATAGAAGTGCAAATGCTGAGCTACCCAAAGATGATAATTACCATGGGCTGCTTATCCATCATCAGTCTCTCATTCGCAACAAACGCTGTTTGATGGCTTATGTGTGAGTAACAATTAGCTACAGAGTTGTCCTTGAGAAAAGGTCATATATTCCTGATCTTTCACGCATCTCTTATGTTCGTTCTCAACTTTCCTTCCTGTTCCTCCTTTAGATATAATCGAGCAGAAGTTATTCGAAGATTGGGATGGACCCTTGAGCGAGTCCTCCCAGAAGAAATTGAAGAGAAGCTCAGTACCTCAGAGAAAGAATATTTTAAGAATCATGCTGCAACTATTCAATCGTACATGTCAGCACTTGATCTTGATCTAGGGGTGGTAAAGTGTTCTTTTCTCATAACTCCTTATTCCTGTACTAATAGAGCACTTGATCTTGATCTAGGGGTGGTAAAGTGTTCTTTTCTCATAACTCCTTATTCCTGTACTAATAGATTGCTCAAATTGCTATGGTGAAAAGACATCTATACACCTAAGAAGTCATACTAATATGCCTGAAATTGGAAAAAGTAGACTCTTGTACTCTTGGGATACTTAAAATTGTGTCGTCTCCTAGGAGGAAATTTTGCACTGCCCTCTTCAAAAAGGTTATGTATTGTAACCTGTGAATGTCTAGGAGCAGCACTGTTATGCTTATCACCAAAATTTTGTTGGAAAGAGAAACATTCTATAGGTCATGACTTATTCTTACTTGAATCCAAAGAGAGCAGAAAAAAGGGTAGTTATCCATTGAGCTGTGTGATTCACTTCTAAATAGCGTCTTTCGTTCTATTGGTACAAAACTTTAATTTAGTGCCTATTTTGTATGAAGTGTCAGTAAGTCTGAAACTTGATATATCTATCAGAAGCTAAAGTTATTGCTTGAGGTACTGTAACATTGAATGGTCCTGGCACAATGAGTCCCTCCAATAAATATATCCGCACTGCTTCCTCGTTGTTGTGCTCTCGTCCATGTTGCTGTGCCGTCGAGGCAAGGGAATGCAGCTCGGGTTGGGGTGTGAGTGGTAATCTGTAAGGAGTGTGGCGAATATTTCCTTTTCTGTTTCTCTTGTGAGTAGGAAGTACCAAATTCCGGCTCATTGCCTACGGCTTTAAGCTTCAGATATATATAGTGTGGCGAATATTTCCTTTTCTGTTTCTCTTGTGAGTAGGAAGTACCAAATTCCGGCTCATTGCCTACGGCTTTAAGCTTCAGATATATATATATCAGCCATTGGATTAGAAGTTTGAACTGTCTCGGAAAAGATTATCAGAAGTTCAATATGCTCAGATGAAAAACTAGATTGACAAGCACAAATGACATCGTTCTTTTGCGTTATTTATCTGATGAATCTGCAAAAGACTGATTTCCTTGTATGTTTTGTTTTATCTCTGGGAGACCAGCGCAGTTCAATTTTTTATATTTTCTTTTAGTGTAGTTTCCTTATGTTCGGTTTCACAGGATATGGTGCCTCCCAAAGATCCCTATATCAAAGTGAGGGTCCTCGATGACATTGGTAATGTTGTCCTGAGCGACCAATTAGCCAACCTTGCTCGTCATGCAATTCTTTTCCTTAGGCGAACTGATGCAGAGCAGTACATTTCTCAGGTGATTTTCCTACGCAACACAGGACACATTAGAAATAAATGCATTCACCTTTTTCTCATACTTCTATTGTTGGCTCTAATGACAGGGCTTAATGGAAGAACTCACAAGTTGACTCCAGGTAGTATGAGTTACAAGGTAATTCTGATAATGCATTGCTTCTAACAAAACCAGCAGCAGTAGGGCGACTGCTATCTGGTGGTTGAAGGTGACTGTTAGTTCAAAAAGGAGCAATCAAGTTTGAGAAGGCAATGGAGAATTGAAGGGAATTGTTGATTCATAATCATCCATGCGTCTGATATAAAAGAGGGTTTTTGATTTTAAGTGGCATCTAAACCAGAATATTGTAATTTATACTTCAAAATAGCTGATAAATTCACAAATATGTGGGATAATACTCTGTTCTCAGAACCAATCATGTGCCTCAATTATCATCTGAATACACTTAAAACATGTAAACAAATTAGAACCTTAATGTCCATTCATGATTGCAGCGTTTACGACAAACAGGAATAGCATCCAGATTCCGCAAATCCTCACCAAGGAAAACTAGATACACTATTTCTATCACTACCTAAGCAGTGGTTTCCTAGACTTCTGTTGTCAAACTGATCAAAATTTAGTCATTGAATCAGATTTCGGAGTGTATCAAATTGGTCGAAGAACATTGCCAACCAAATGCTGTATCAAAAGCACATTATTCCTGTTCAGCGGGCAAAGCTGCACTATAACTCACAAAGATTTTTTGTCTCTTCATGCCGTATAGAATAGAATGCCAAGAGAAGTATTAACAGCCACAACACCAAGATACGAGAAACTACCATGTTAACCTGGATCAGGATAAAATTTCCATGCAGAACATTGTCAGCTGAACATACAGACTAACTGGCTGGACGGGCAATTTTTCATGTAAGCAGATGCAAAAGCACAATATGATTGTACAGCCTACCATAAGTTTGTATTGGAAAGAAACGTGACATCATGTTAAAACTGAAAAAGAGTTCCTCTATCGAAGGTAAAGGACAGTCGCCTGATGCTTTGACAAAACTTTCTGTTAGCTCTAATTCCTAGTGATACAGCCTTGATGGAAACCTCTTATCTTTGCTGACGACAAAATTATCACAGAAACCTTGCTAAATTGAGTGCAACTTCTGCAGAGAGATAATTTGGAAGAATTGACTCTTGATTTGACACTTCAGTCTTAGAGAGCTCGACCACCTTAACAGCTTCTTCCACCATAGCTGCCAGAGATGCTGGTGACTTCAACAATGATAAAAGCTCTGAGTTGTCCATTTCCAAGAGCATTCCTGTGACCTTTGCTGCAAGATTGGGCTACAAAAGGCACATAGGTTTCATTAACAAATTAGGTTTTGTTAATTCTCAGGGTGCTTGGAATCATAGCATGACCACTGTCTATTAACAGAAGCCAGAACAGTTCTATACAACTAAGGATAAAGAAGCACAAAACGAAATTGCTTCGAAAAGCTTCTTGACAGATCATAACACCAACATCAATAAAGTTGTCAGAGATGGATCAGGTCCTCTTTCAAGTGTTTATCTACCCCTTGGTTTCTCTATGAAGAACCAAAACGATTGCAACAGAAAATTTATTATGCCCTCGTACATAAAGGTAGGTATTATTAGAAGAGAAAGGAAGAAATAACCGCACCTTGTGCTGACTAACTAGAGGATAAAGGTGCTCTCCAAGTATCTGTTTCTGCTGCTTAGGAGGAGCAGCTGCAAGCGTGTTACTCAGGTTTTCTGAACCCCCAGAGCAAGATCCTACTCTACTGGTGCCAGCAGAGGATACAACAAATCCATTTTTCGTATCACACATATGACCTTTTGGTGCATATTTGACCTGCCAAGCTTGCTGCAAAGCATACATAAATTATGGATTACTAAAATGTGGATGCTACTATGATCCATCATTCAAAAGAACAGTTTTCTTTTTCATGGAATGATTCTCACCTAGGTGAGGGTATGCGCCAAAATAGGAACTTGAAGCTCATCAATGTATACAAATTAGTAAATGAACAAAGAAGCTCTTAGTTATAGTTGACAACAATTTGAAATATAAGTTCAATTTCTTCTCCATGACAGGATCTTAATCATAAAATTGAGGGAAATAAAGGAACATCTGTTGTATGTTCTCAGCCATCTTACTCATCCAGATGAATACAGAAGGAGAAATGAGAAATTGCACTAACCACCATGCAGATTCATTAAGAAACCTCAGGTTAGTCAATGTATAGTGCTAAGTAATTTGCAGGCGAGATTAGCGATTTTATATCATACAAGCTAAGAAAACCAAAATATTGATTGGGTTAAAGATAAAGCAGATATGGGATTAATGACTTATGATACTCCAATACTTGTGGTTACAGCCGCAACAACAATTCAACTTGATGAAACAATCTCCAGCTATAAATCATGGACTTAACACTAGTTAAGGGAAGGTCTAGTTTTTCAAATACATGAATAATGACTTGTAAGTTCAGATAAAAAGATTATATGAAGAACACTAGAAAAGAAATTTTTATCCTCATCCTAGAAAAAGGATTAATCACTATCAGAAATAGGCATTTGAAGAAATTATCCTTTTCCATTGAGGTAAAGGCAAGTCACACATTTCAAGAGAGGAGTCTCGGAAAACCTTCTTCAACTTAAGCATTCTAAGTTGGAATGTTTGAACAACTCTGTTGTGCAGATCAATCAACAAATAGAAACTCAGTCAATCAAGATTCCAATTTATGAAAAAGGATAACAAGGAAATTTAACCACCTGTGGATTGCTAGATTGTTTTAATGACGCCGCTGATTGAGTCGATTGCTGCAAATGAGGCACATATGGAACTGGCATATGTCCATTCTTCTTTTCCCTACTCTGTCTATATTGTGAAGCATTTGGAATCTGAAAAACGAGATGAAAGTTGTAAGAAACTTCATCATAGGTTTAAACCTGAAATATGTCCATGCATTTTAGTACCTCCTTACTACTACTGAACAGTTCAAGATTCTGTTTATCTAGTTTAGCACTGTATCAATGATTTTTGAACAAAATGATAGGGTTGCCAGAGTATTATGACTATTTGCAGTTTACTAACCAAGGAAATTTGACAAGCAGGTCTAATAGAGTTTGTGAATCCATTAACCATCCAACCGCGCCTCATACTCAGAGGCTGATACAGCAGCCTGGGTCGTGCAGGTACTTGTAGATCATGAAGGGTTTGGTAGTAAAGAGGAGGATATCCACCAGGAAGAAAAGCTGAAGATCCGGTGAGTCCTGCAATGCCTTGTGCATGCTTAAGCTGCAATTGAGCTAGCCTTTCCTCTTTCCTTTGAGCAATAGCCACATACAATGGCTTTTGGCCTAACATAAATCCTGTGAAATGTCTAACAACATCAATATACTTAACAGGACCTTAAGAGAGAATCTTCTAACTTTCAGTACACAGAATTTTGAGGCCAGACTTCTACAAAACTATCATCTCATCTTGTACAGTCTCAACAGGAGCAAGTAGATGTACTAAAAAATATGAAGTCACCAACTTAATTATATGATGATTTTTTTTTAACATTACAAGAATATAAGCCGTCAAACTGATGAGCAGATGAATAATATGAGAGAAAACTAAAGGGAAAACGAAATGGAAAGGCACCTGTTAGTTTTCATTCAAGAAATACCTTAATATTGAGTCACATAAAAATAGCATGCTATAGCAGTAAGGAATTTTGCAGCAGTTCATGAGAGACAATGTTGCTGATGCAAGCATGGCAGGACATAAAAACATCATGCTGTGTATCACTATGTACTTGGCCAAATAATCTAGGCAAGCCTGGCAGTGATTTATCTTTAAATTTTACGTTTATTGTTTGCAATTTTCTGGAATAGTTTTAGTTTTCTCCAGGATTTCAGTTTAATAATTAAAAGAACAGAGAATGGAGACTGCCATGATGACCTCTGACAGTACCATCCACGAGCTTAGTCAAAGGTTAAAACTTTAGTGCAGAGGCATTAAAAAGAAAGCAGATACCAAAAATCCACAGTGTGCATGAAGAGGAAAGAGGGGAAAAGGAACCATAAAAGAAAAAAAAGAAAAACTAGACTAGAAATTTAACATGATTCAGAGGCCTTGTCTATTGACAAGTGCAGCAAACACTATAACTCACCATATGTGGGGCAGTGAGCCTCAGTTCAACTAGAATAAGCAACCAATAGAGAATAATTAGAATTTAGATTTCTTGCCCGACATAATACCCAGATAGTCATTATGAAATCTAAGGCTAAGTCATGAGGCATTCAACAGAAACTTGCATTTCTGCATTGAAATTCCAGAGTGTTCTAATCCTTCAACCCTGAATTTCATGAGTATATCCATATTGGAAAAGTCATTCAGGGACTTGTTCACGCTGCAATGCTTCTTCGTTATTTACCTTTTCTATAAAGTTAGAAAACAGTGCAAATTGTTTACAGATTTATTTAAGCTAGGATATCTGTGCTCAAAAGCGTCATAGGAGAAGAAGTGAAAGGTGGTTAGATAGCACCAAAATTTATTCTATGTGCTAGATCATGTGAAACAATATTCAGTCCTTGGTATTCACCGCAATCTTGACCATGTAAAAAGATATATGACTTACCATGAAAACTATTCACCGCTTTATTGGCCTCCTCTGGTGTGGAAAAACATACAAATCCAAAGCCCTTGCTGACTCCTTTCTCATCTAGCATAAGTTTTGCAGAAGTGATGTTGCCACATTGACTAAACAATTCACGCAACTCATTATCCGTGACGTCGCCATCAATATTTTTGACATACACATTTGAACCCTATGACAACATCAGTTTTGATCAGAAAGTGGATAATAAAATACAGTAACATATATATTTTCTACAGTAACATATAGCTTTTGAATAAGGAAATTTACCTGGTGCTTAATAATTTGCGCCTTCCTTCTCTCCTCAAACAAATGCCTCAATATCTGTTCGCGTTGTGTTTTCTTTTGTGCTCTGGCTACATACAAGATCTTGCAGCCTGCCAAATGCACGCAGGTCATATACAAACATTTGAACATTGCAACTGTTAGTTACATTTGAGAATACGACGGCATGAAAGTCATGACTTACCAAGTTTTGATCCATTCATAGCTTCCATTGCTCTCCTAGCATCATCTGGATTCTCAAAGTTCACATGACCAAAACCTTTTGAACCTCCATGCTCATCTTTTGCAATGGCCAAGCTACTAACTTTCCCAAACTCAGAGCACTTCTCTCTAAGATGCTCTTCTGAGATGTCAAGATCCAAGTTCTTGATAAACAAATTTGTATACTTTTCATCAGGGTTGGGCAGAATCCGGTCACTCTTTTTGACGAACTTACCTACATACCTATCCATAGATACATGTAAAACATTTGTGTATATGGACAAATAAGATAAAAAGCATACAAGAAAAACAATTGCTTCGATATAATCCATCGAAGTTCATCATGATCGTAATATATTAGAACAGAGAGATAATTGCACATACATCTGCTTTCCTCCAACCACAGATCCATTGAGCTTATCAATAGCAGCGTTTGCACTGTCCTCAGTCTCAAACTGGACAAAGCCATATCCTTTACTCCTTCCGTCCTCAGAAACGACAACTTTACTGGAAGAGATATTTCCAAACTTCTGGAACATTTCTTGGAGCTTTGCACTATCAATTGTATCATTTAGATTCTGCAGCAAAATGCCAAAACCATTTTCACATGCAGATCAAACAGATAAGGAAAAAAGAGAAACTGTTAAGATCTCAAAACAAGTGACTCCTATCCAGTCCTTAAAATGTACCTTGATGAACACATTTCCAGTTCCACTTCTCCTCACATCAGGATCACGACGAGCCCAACTAACCCTTATAGCTTTTCCATTGAGCGTGGAATGATTTTTCATTTCAATAGCACGCACGGCTGCTTACATTTTATGAAATGTTAGAAGCTGTCCAAGTGAAAAATCAACTCACACAGAATTCCCAGGAGAAATAGTCAGAAATACACGATAACTACTCATAAGCAACAAAAGAATCAAAGCTATCAACCAACTCTGCATTTGTAATCATTGTCCCTTGAATCGTTGGTTCAAGACATGAAGCTTAATAAATCCTAACAGCATAAAATCTTCATGAGCTGTTCTCTTCTACTCGCAGAACAGAAACAACCACAGCCTTCTCAAGCAATAAGAAAAGTCGATAATACAACTTGTACAATTTAAAAAACAATTAGCTCATTCTTGCGCTATCAAATCATAGATCAGATGATATGGAAATGTTTCATGAATGGACACAACATTAAATAACAACATGAAAGCAAAAAAGTTTGTGAATAGACAAAATGAGTAATCTGTTGGTCCTCAATATTCCATAAAACAGCAATTGGATGACAAATCAATCAAACTAGGATAAATAAGCCGAGACAAATCATTCCGACAACCTCCATCAGTGAGTCACCAGTAGTCCATAAAACAACGGGCTTACTGCCATAACATTCCATCAAAAGACCAAACTAATCACTGATGGACTTCAGTGAAAGAACTAGCCAGACCACTCCCACCACAAAAACAAACAAATTGATCATTTTTTACAAAAATCTCAAATTACAATTAATTTTCCCTTAACACATCACCAACTAATTCATAGTAACAACTAACTTCAGCAAGCGTCCACTGAGACGAGTCACAAACAGAGAAAACCAATTCATTACTAATCAACATCATAAAATCCTCCAAGTCTTTCAATTACTGAATATCTAAATTCCCTCGAACGCAAGATAGAACTATCATATACTACTAGAAGAATATCTTGAAGAAATAGCATGCATGAGCTCATCTGTTCCACTCACAGAGCAAAAAAACCACTGCCTCCTCAAGCAATAAAAAAACCGATAATACAACCTGTACAATTTAAAAAAGGTTAGCTCATACTTTAGCTATCAAGGGACAAAGATATCTAACTTTCCTTGCATATGACTAGAAATCAATCCCTTTATTTTCCTTCATATTTCATACATCAAGAAAATTCATTTATCACAAATACAGGATACATATTGGCCGAGATAAAATCACGAAAAACACAATTGGAAAAAACACGAAGAACTAGCTGACCTATTAATATTTATTTACTCCGTAGTACTTCTCTCCTAATTCAAAACATGAAATTCTGATCAGAACTCGCGAAGCAAATAAAAATCAACTGATTGAATTGGCACTAAATTACACATGAAGAAAACCGAAAAGAAGAAGTAGCACTACAACAAAATACATGCATGTTGAGCGAAAATGAAAAAAGAAAAAGAAATAGGAAGAAATAGTATAAACTGTACCATCGTGAGGAGAAATGAAGTTAACATAGCCGTAACAGAGGGAACGGCTGGTCGTTAAGTCACGACAGACGCGAACGGAAGCCAAGCTTTCGAACTCCGAGAATGCGTCGAAGAGTTGGCCATCGGTGACGTCGTGATGAAGGTCGCCGACGTACAGCGACGCCGTCGGAGGAGGAGAAACCGCCATTGTCACGGTAGCGTTAATGCGTCGGAGAATTCTGTTACGTTTACAACAGAGTGCAGCAGAAGCAACTGAATAACTACTGTAGAGAGAGAAAAAGCGTCTGTAGAGAGAGAAAGAGTGAGTGGAGTGGAAATTCGTACTTTATATATTAGAGATTTTTAAATGAATAAGAGGAAAGTGAAGGGAAATGCAAATTTATTATTTTTGATTGATCGACTGTTATATATAGTTTTAATTCTTAATTACAATTCTCATGATTAAATTGTTTGGTTCGATTAAACACTAAGTACAGACAAATATTTTTAATCTCTCATTATTGGATTTATTTGTAAATATTAAATGTATATATTATTTGTGTCTTTGGCTGGTTAAAATTTTCACTTTTTATTTTTTTTCCTACTTTTTAGTTAGCTTACCAAGGAACAAATATGTTTATTTTTCTTGCAATTACTTTTATCATGTAAAAGCCTCTATAATGTCCTTGAAATTTACTGTTAATTCTTCAAAGTTTGGGTGCCAACATATAAATAATAAATCACTAGTAATACCAACTCCAAAAAAAATAAACATGCATAGTGTTTTCCAAAGGGTGAATCTCATTTACATCCCCCAAGTTTATTCTAAAAATCAAACTTATCCTTCAATTTTGAACAATTATCATTTTCATCCTTTTATCTTTTGCAATGTCTATTTTACCCTTGACATTTTCAACTCTCCATATATGTAATACTTTTTTTTTTAATTTAGATATTTTTGAATGCAAGTACTTATTCATAAGTTAAAAATATTGTATCTTATTATATAATTTAATCTAAGTTCACTAACATTATAAATAAAATAATTATATTATGAATTTATTACGAATATATTACTACTTTAATTTTATTATTGTTTTACTATTATATATATATATATATATATATATTTAAAATGCATATAATAAATGTCGTTGTGTGTGTATGATTTTAAGTTCCACTATTTTCATTATTTTCTATGTGAATATAAATTTTTGAGTTTTGATTCTCATTACTATATTTTTTCTAAATTTTAATAAAAGTTCATGTTAAGTATAAATAGATAATTTTTCAAATTTATTATAAAATTTACTATAATTTACGCCCATACTACCAAACCAAACATCAATAGACATAACGTATATAGTAAATTCTCATTACATTCTGAACTTCTCAACTCAATGGGAACATGAACAACTCACACATGAAATTATCTTCACTTTCCAACTCTTTAAATAGCTTACTTTAGAAAGAATTACAAGAAAATACACTTGACATCACACCATAACAAAAAATGACCCATATTTTTAAATTTTACTCTATTTAGCCTATATTGTACATATTTTGAAAGCACTAGCAAATTCAAAATATATGAAGTTAAATTTGTGTTCTCACAATCATTGCATTCACTCTCTTTTCTCCTCACATTTTCTACATATGCTTCAAGGGGCCATCCGCCATTACTGCTTCTCCCCCTGTGTCCCCTGGTTGCAATGTAAGAAAATTGAAGAGTAGAACTTCACCATTAAAGGCTATTCAAAGCTTTGCTTTCGAAAATAGAATCTTTTGAGTTTGTTAGTTGTTTGGATTGGGTGTAGTTCCAATTGATTGAAAATATCAAAAAGAGTTCAAAATTTCAATTTGAAGTGATTTTGAGTAGATTTGAACAAGATTTGAGAAAAGACGCAAGGAAGAAGACGCAATTAGTTTTTTGTATAATTATGTATAATCTTGTATAATAGTGTACATTGGTGTATAAACACATCTTATACACTATTATACACTTTTATACACCTTTATACAAACGTCTGCAGACGAACTTCTTCCACGATTTTCAGTTGCAATTCTTGTTCAAAACCAGTCCAAATCTCCATTAAATAACTTCAAATTGTATTTACAACCTCCTTATACTATTTTTAATAATTCTAAATAATACCCACTCCAATTTCTCACAAAATCAAATTCGGAATCTAAATTCATATATTTAAGCTTGTTAAAAATTTAATTTTCACCATTCAAATGAATTTGGTTTGTTGAACTAATATTTGAGTTATAGTTGCTGATTCGAAAATTAACTTAAAAGCTTGAGCAATCTTTTTTAAAAATTAAATAGTAATTTCGAGAATTTATTGGAGTTGGATGTTGAATCTTAGCCTATTATTTTTGGGCTAGTTAATTATAAATTGAAATATGAGCTATAAAATTGAAAAGTAGGAATCCCAGTTGTTCTTATGTGAAATTTTCCTTTACTTTATAGTATTTTAACGACAAAAAAGTGTAGATATTATTAAAGAAAGGAAAAAATAAAATTTATATCCCAAATGTGAATTAAACATAGATAGATTGATATGGCCTTGAGAATGATAAGGATCACTATATTGGAGTAAGCATATGTCTTTTCTGTAATATTGAACTCCCTCTGTTCATATTTACTTATTTATTATGGACTTTGCATATCACTTAACAAATAATAAATGAGGTACGTAATTTACCATGATACTCATATTAATTGATATATATTTCAAATAGATTTGAGAAAATGATTTGAAACGAGCAATTAATATTGTGGGCATAACAAAAAAAAAGAAATTATCTTTTCTCGATATGCTAAAAATGACAAGTAAAATTGAAAATCTAATTTTAAAATACCGGACAAGTAAAAGTGAAGGGAGAGAGCACTCGGTTAGCAACCAAAGTGCAAAGTAGTTTTCGACTCTCTATCCCTTGACCTTCTATTTCACACCTAATTGTTACTTATTTGGGAGAATTACATCCCTTGTCACTTGGCCCAACAACCCATCAAAAAATGACCCACGTTTGAAGCCTTTACCCAGTGTAGCCCGGGTTGTACATAACCTGAAAATTATTTTTCACCGGTTAGCCCACCCCTTATTTCTTCGTTTCCCTTTTTTCTTCGTTCTTCTTCTCCTTCCCATGTCAGCCTTTGCACCATAAAATTTCTTTACTAATGTTATTCTCCTTTAATTCTTTTCTGGATTCCAATGATAAACTAAGGATTTGAAAAATAAAATTCACCATTACAGGTGGTTCGAAGATTCGATTTCAGAAATTGGGTTTTCTGATTTGTTAGTTGTTTGGAATGTGTGTTGTCTCAATTGATTGGCATCATCAAGATGAGTTCAAAACTTAAATTTCAAGTTATTTGGAGTATATTTAGGTTATATTTGAGTTAACTTTCAGAGGATGCCCAAGGAAGAAGAAGAACACCTGAAGCTCAATTGATAGGATTCATTTGTATAATAATGTGTAAATAATATATAATAGTGTATAAACACAACTTATACACTATTATATATAAGGTTGATACATTATTTACATATATTTGGTGAATTTCTTCTTCTTCTTCTTCTTCTTCTTCTTCTTCTTCTTCTTCTTCTTCTTCTTCTTCTTCTTCTTCTTCTTCTTCTTCTATATACATCGTGTATCAAGAATATTTCACTCTGTGATTATACATCTTTATACACTTTTATACAATTATATACATAATATACCTATTTGTATAAAAGTGTATAACATTGTATAAAAATGTATAAGCATCGCTGGCGAAATTTTTGTACGATTTTCACTTGCAATTCATGTATAAAACTAGTCCAAATCTCCAGCAAATAACTTCAAACTTTGTATACAACCTACTTAGACTATTTCTAATAAGTTCAAACAATACCCACTCCAAATTTCTCACAAAATCATAATCGAAATTTAACAAGATTCGTATTAAAAGAGATGAGATTTTTGGTTTATGCGTTTTTTTTTGCGTTTTGCAATTGTGATATCTATGTATAAACCTGAAGATACACAAAATTTTTTAAAAAATAATTCAGAGAAGTATTGGTTATGGAAGAAGGCACGAATGGGTGTTGGCTGAATGGGGAACTGATTTTTGTTTTCAGTTTTGTTTGCATATGATTCTTTTTCATTAATTAAATTAAATATTTATGGGTGAAAAATGAGGAGAGAGCTACAATAAGGGTAGGTAGGAATAAATAAGATTGTTATAATTAGAGGGAATGAAAAAAAAAGATGTTATTATTTTTTTTGATAAAGTTAGATGCTTAACCAGGCATATTAATGTACAAATTTTCCATCATATGAATTAAGGAAACTTAAACTAGCAGAGTAAATGAAGAGAAATATTCATAAACTACTATATTTTAGTAGTTATTAGCTAGTTGTAGCTACCATTTATAATATTGTGAGCACGTAATTTTTGCCTTATATAAATTACTCCCATAAAATATAAGAAAATAAATTTTTCCAATTTTTGCAATTTTATAGGACTTTTTGTAGAATTTTATTAATTATTTACATTTTTGTGCATATTTAATTTCCATTAAAAAACACAAAAATACCAAAAACACCATGCATTGAATTTAGGTTTGATTTTTCACTTTTTGGAATTAATTAGTAATTATTTCTTTTATTAAAACACGAAAATTACAAAAATAGCTCATTTTACACCTTTTAATTTTAGTCTATTGATTTTTCCTTTTAATTTTGGACTAAGTAATTTTGTAATTATTATAGTTAGATAATTAGCTCAATTTTACAGTTTAGATTAATTTAGGAATCTAATTTAGGTTTTAATTAATTAAAGAAAGAAAAGAAAAACAAAAAAAAGGGGAAAGTGAAAAGGGTTGTTTTAAACCCAATCGGGCCAACTGATTGTTGAGCCCAAATCCCACCTCAGTCGCCCAAACATCTACAACCCAAATACACTCACCCTCCTGGTCTGGCCCAAACCGACCCCGTCCCCAAACACTTATAACACAAAACAAAAGAAACCCTAAATCATAACAGACCCAAAGCGGTGCCTTCACTGTTCATCTTCTCTTTCACCCAAAACTCACCTCTGTCTCGCCCCAAACTCGCCCGAGTTCACCCCTAACTCACCTCACGTGCTCCCCCCTTCTCTCCTCTTGCCACATAGGTGTAACGATTTCTGACACCAAAGATTCCCTCCCCTCCCTCACCCGCCCGATTTTGAGCTATATCACGCGATTGGAAGGTTTTGGAGGACGATCGTTAGATGAGTGTGAGGA